CAATTTGTTTGGAAAATATCCCTGAAGAAATTGACGAACTGCGACAGCAGTATGGCAAGTTGTCCCATCCTGCTGGAAACATTGGTCTCGGAATGCCAAATTATGTGCACGACAAAATTGACGTAGATCAGAGAGAAGCGTGCTAAAATTTGTATAAACCTCTGTTGATTAAGTTTGACTTGCATAACATTTTCTTAGATAAAGTAGGGACCAATCATTCCGTGTCCAGAAACTGCACACCAGACACTTTTGTGCAATGAAAAGGAACTTCTTGAACTTCATCTGGTCTGGCAAAACACAAAAATCGATTTGTGCTACGATTTACATGGCCTGACAAATGAAAATGTGCTTCGTCTGAAAACCATACATTTTTTAAAAATTCAGGATTTTCATACTCTAATGCAAGAATTCTGGCACAATATTCCACTCTACTGTGATAATTCCTGGGATGTAATTGTTGATGTACCTGAATCACATATAAAAATGCACCCAGCTCTTTCAGAATTCGTTGCAAGGAAGTTAGTTTTAAGCCAAGATGCAATGCTGTTCTTGTCTGGCTGGCTTTTGGATTTTGCAAGATTCACTCAAAAACACGTTGATGGTTATTGTTGTTGTTAAGTGTCCTAGGACGCCCCAAGTTTCCTTTTCGTTGGCACAATATATTACCCGTATTTCTAAATTTTCAACAACCCATTATACATTTTAAAGTAGAAGACTTTATAATGATATTGCCAATATTGCTGAGTTGCGTTTCTGGGACGACTTTATTGTAAGATAGTTCATTCAATTACATGAAATCAAATTTAACTTGAGAATATTCATCAGAAAAAAATCGTAGCATGGGATTATTCTTTAAAAAGACAAGCACATGCTATCATGACAGTAAAATTCTGCTGTTATAGTATGGTTTAGGAAACTCCATAAAGCTCTTTAGATATGTATTATTGTGATATTTAAAGTCTTAGTGCGCCAAACAATTAATTAGCTAATTAATTAATTAATTAATTAAAATTATTTAAATGATATGACTATAATTCTATCACACTTTATAATTCTCTTATCTCAGGGTTCTATTCGTGCTTCAATATCTATGCTATTACATGTGAAAGGAAAGGTCCAAAGAATACCGGAATAATAAAAAACATATAGGATCTAACATTATATATTGAAATAAAATAGTGAAATAAAATTAACAATCAAAAATTTGCAATAAACAAAATCTCATATAATGATTCTCAAAATTTTGTTCTACGTACGTGAACCTTCAAAATTAATGGTACAAACAATATTAGTTGAAATCTCAAAATTCCAAATATTATTCTAAATCTCCTAATCAAAATATTTATATCTTTTCTAAATTAAGTGTAAAAATTGTGTTATCAATAAAAGAAAAACTGCAGAAAACAAAATTATCTCTCTCTGATGATGATTGGTCCAAATCCTTGTTCCTTGTAGACTATATTATCTACTCTCAGCCGCTCCCTAGGTAATCAGCAATCTTACAACAAATTATTGCAAGTTTATCGTTCTTAATGATCTCCTTCAAATGCACGAATCGTTCAAATTATGCTAGCTTCTTCTTCTCTCAATAAACTGAATCTCTCGTTAACCTGAGTGAAATATGACTTGGAATATCTTTTCTTTACGATAAACTGAATCTCTCGTTGGCCTGAACAGTGACTCTTGGAACATAAGTAGAAAATATACCTTACAATCTTTTACTAGATTAGCTTCTATCACGAAAACTCACAAACTTTCACTGCTACTGCTTCATACCTCTGGGAAACTACCCGAGAACAACGGCCGTTCGCCTTCTACCCTTGGAAACCAACTGACTATCAATTTTTCTTCCAAAACTAACTAACGTCTCATTCTCAAACCAAACCTCACACCTTTTCCAATCTCATCCAATCAAAACGCGTCATACATCTCCCATTTCTTCATTTCGATAACACACAAATTTTTACCTACAATTATAAAATTTCCTAAAACTTGTTTACAAAATAATATTTTCCTACCAATTCTTAAAAACTAACAAAAACATATCTTTCTAAAATCTATTCTAGTGACCTAATTACTGCACAACATTTATTGGGAAAAACCGCTTCAATTGTCTATGAATTCACTTAAGCTTATGCGAGGTCACTCAAATATATTTTAACAAAGAAAATAATTTATGCATATCTTACGTTTTGTTTAATACAGGTAATCCAAAAATTTGAAGACTTTCCTTCTTCGAAATGTTTGTTGTTCATTATCCTACTTATCTGAATTATTTTATTTTTTGGAACTTTGAAATATTTTAAGCAAACCAATATTTTTCTCGATTTTACATATCATAACAGTATATATATATATATATATATATATATATATATATATATATATGTATATATATATATATATATATATATAATAGTAATATATAATAATTTATAATATAAGTTAAGGATCACTCGAAGAGTTTTCGAAGGGTTTCTCGGTCAAAAGGTGGAGAGAGAAAAAATTTAGTATCTGACCGTTTGGGTCTTTTAGATTTCCAAATCCCTTTTATTAAGCGGTATGTTGATTACTTATTACTAGCCTCACCCCCAGAAGAGATACAGATCACCTTGTCTTTGTTCAATGAGTTTGATCCTCACTTAGAGTTTACTGTTGAGCTTGAGGATCCCATCACAAATAATATTCCCTTCTTAGACATGCGTGTCATTAGAATGGGAGATAACACCTTAACCACAAGTTGGTATAGGAAACCAATGGCCTCTAATAGGTTTTTCAACTACTATTCTTGTCATCCTTTCAAATATAAATTAAACCTAATTAAAGCTTTAAGCTGCAGGCCAAATAGACTAACACATCCGGTTAATAGAAGGGAATCCATTCAATTACTTAGAAATAATAAATACCTTTATTTACAAAGCTATGGTTCCTCTTTAAATGACATACCCAATGGTGACCAACTTAAAATAATATCAAATAATTCCATTAATAGTACTGTTCTGCCTAATACTGTACTTGGGACTCCAACCACCCATTATTCATCTAAACTGTACAAAAAGAATAACGTACCTGTTAAAATTGCAGCTAACAATGCTAAGACTGTCAGAAATTTGTTTTCTAAAACAAAAACACCCTTGTCCCTTCTAAAATAAGTAAACGTCATCTACCATATACCTTGTGCTGAGTGTGACTCGTGCTACATCGGTCAGATAGGAAGATCACCGAGAAGGCGTCTTACGACACGACACTGTGATATCAACTTATCTAAGCATACTTGTGCTCTTGCCCAGCATGCTATCAATGCTAAGCACACAGTGGACTTTAATAAAGCTAAGATTCTTGGCAATGAACGCAATCTCGTTAAAAGGCAATTTTTGGAAATGTGTTCAATATTTAAACACCCTAATGCTCTTAATAAGAGAATTGAAATAAATTAATATCTTGAGCCAAATTTATCATGCATTAATATTGCAGGATTAGGCTTAATATGTTGTTTACTTTATAATTGTCCCCTAAGGTGTATATTTTATCATATTTTCTTATTAAATAATTTCAAATATAAATAAAATAAAATAAAATAATATTTTCATACTTTATTTAACTTAGATTCATTCAACTTACATTTTATTGATTATTTTGTCAATGTAACATTTACATATGAAATAATTGTTTCTGATCAAACAGTGTAATAAAATTTTGTAATTAAAATTGATTCATAGAATCTTTAGTAATCTCAGTTCTAAATGTTGGACTGGTGAACCTTGGACTGTTGGAAGTTTAATCAATATTCACCTGTGGCTGGCTAACCAGCCACAACGTAGACTATTAATATATGATATTTTGAATCGACCCCTCTTGTTTGTTCTTTGTTTCTCTTAACCAATCACTAGGTGGGGAATGGTGTTCTTAACCAACTTTTTCTTTTATTTTTTGGTTTTAACTGACAAGTTTCTCACCAAAATTTATCATTTTCTTTAAATTTACCGCTCTATTGCACTAGAGGTAGGTGAATCACCTTGCTGTTCTATCATATTTTGACCTCAAGGCCACTGTCTTATCTCGTTGTTGGTGTGGGTTTATACCTGTTGTTTCCATTTCACCAGCAGCTGATTAGAAGTTAAGAGTGGTTACTTCATTATACTTTTAAATATTACTACATTTAAATCTTAATCATTCTAATAATGTTACCTAAAGTAAAAATTAAATTTAACTATTAATATATTGTTTGAAGTGCATCTTAGGATCTTTTTAGTTCTTCTGCAAATTTTTGTTTTTCACTTAAGTTTTTTACATAATTTTTATATACGTATTCAATTACCACATGGTATTTTGCTGGCTAACTTTGAGCTAATTTGTAAACTGTATTTAGTTTAATTAATTGTTTATACAACATAATCTTATAATGTAAATTCTCGTAAGCTTCTTTACATATTTAATATCATTCACTGCTACATGTCTTTTTGAGGTAACACACTTATAATACCTTTTCTATGGATGTTTGGTTTGTCATATTGTTCTTTTTAGATAAACTGGTGATGCTTTCTGAGTAGACAGCGAAACGTCTTCAAATAGACGAAGTAGCCACCTTCTTTGTCTTATTTCTTTCCAACTTTTGACCAAAAAACACACCACTCTTCGAGTGATCCTTAATTTATATTGGATTGACGGTCGTACTCCGTTTCTCTCTCTCCCCCTCACACACACACACATATATATATATATATATATATATATATATATATATATATATATATTATATAAATATATAATATATATATATATATATATATTATATAAATATATATATATATATATATATATATATATATATATGTATATATATATATATGTATATATATATATATATATATATATATATATATATATATATGTATATATATATATATATATATGTATATATTATTATATCTGTGGTATAAACCATTTATTAAAATTCTCTGCAATTTGAATTTCATTTATATTGGCCAATATTTGCTTACCTTAAAGCTTGTAGCGACGATCTTGAAGCACCAGATCCTTGTCCTTCAGCGGGACCTTTCCGAAGTTTCATCACAACAACCCTTACGATATTTATCAGGAAGAAAAGATTGAGAATTATGGTGGCAGCTACTGGTATTTGGTTGATAATCTCGAACCGGGAGTCTTTAATCCAACACCTAAAAACAGTATGCTTATTATTTAATAATATCATGTAATGCGGAATTATTTAAAATCTTTAAAACTTTTAAAAATAATCGTTTTTTTAGAGACGTGCATTATAAACCGGTCTACTGCAGCATTTGGTTAGGTATGTACGATTCATTAATCATGATAACCATTCCAGAATTATTCTGAAACCCTGTATAGTCGCGGTATTATATTGTTATTGCGGTTACATTATATTGCGGTTGTTTGCTGAAATTTAATTATTTTAAAACAACACAAATTTTGTAGAAAGTGCCAATGCTAGTGTAGGTGTGAATGTAACCCCAGAGGATCTGGGCAAGATCTCTGGGGATCTGCAGATCTGCCTCTGGGGTAAGAGGATCTTACCCGATTACTAAAATATCAACATCCAGATTTGTGGTTAAGTATATTTGTTTTGATTTTTATAAATAATGGGAAGCAGTAGAAAACGACTTCACTTCAGTAATGAAGATGATATGTTTATGTTTTTGTTTAAGGAAGTGCCACAACCCTTACAATCATCCAGAAAGGTGAAATATAATCCAAAAGCGAAAAAGATTTTTAGGTTGAGTTTACCGAAAGTACAAGCTGATTATAGCCGCAAATGTCAAACATGGAACAACAAATTTTGGTATAGCAGTGTTGGCATGTTTTTATAATGGAGATGCTGTATGCTTAAAATATAAAAAAGAGTATAGTAGTAAAAAGAGTAAGAGTAGTAAAATAACAATGAGTACATATTTGTTTCTTTGGAGATTAATTGCAGTTATTTATTAAAAATTTTTTTTAGCAATTACCCTTTGATAGATTAGGGGATACATTTGGCAATCGTCAAATCAGCAGTTGCCAGATATTTGCAATTAATCTCGAAATAGACAAATATTCATCCGTTATTGCTTCATATAAATTAAAAATTGCGGAATTCATAACATAGTATAATCAAAATATACTTTATAAAAGCTTTATCTCTTTATATTTGAAGCATACAACATAGGCATTATAAAAACATGCCAGCACTGCCAAACCAAAATATACTATATTCAGCTTGTACTTTCGGTAAACTCAACCGATTTTTACATTGTATATCAGACATGATATCTAAATTAAAGCGGCCATATAGTCGTGCAAGATGTGAAGAAAAAGCGGATTTTCTATGTCCTCGTCTTCTTCATCATCAATAATGGCATATTCATTTATTATTGCGTCCATCTCCAAAATTAAAAATTGTTAAAAAAATATTTGTTATTTATTTTGAACATCAAAAATTTAAGTGACAAGGACAAGACAGGCACTGACAACTTACTAGTTTATCACTAAGGCAACACCATATGAGGGCAACACCATCGTTACGTTACGTGCAGAACTTTAACCCTCAATTTAACGTTAATCTTCTTCGATACGTTAGTTCTTTACGTATAGAGAGATACGTTACGTTAGGTAGTTACAAAAACTCCCTATTAGCCCAATCACGTTTTGTGACGTAACCCAAAGAGTATTTTTTTTAGAATATACATAAATATACCTTTTGTAAAGGAAAAATATATTTTTTTAATTATCAATCGTTTAATAGCAAGATTAATTTTATCAAAGAAATATTCAAATTAATGCACATCAAACAGTGAGTCTAACAGCTTGCATTGTCCATTTAAGTAAGTAAAAATACTTACTCAGGTAAGTGTTAATCAACTTTTGTCTCCTTTTTTATCCAACAACTAAATGACCAACAACTAAATGAACTGGATTAGGTTTAAAGTAGTTACTAATTGGATAAAACAAAAAATGAATAAAATCAAAAGATACCACAAAAACAGCAATTAAATGTCTGCGTTGATAAAACTCGCATTTGCTATAAAAAAGTGTCGTTGCTTTAATTACTCAAATAAACCTTTATTAGAGGTTGTTTAAATCATTGACACTTTTATCTAAAAATGTCTGTAATTGAATTTAATTTGATAATAATAAGACAGTTGTTTTAAAAGACGAGATCCCAACTTAAAAATAAAATATAGTCGAAAATAAATATCGGAAATGTAAAAATTATAAAGATATGATACGCAGGTTTCTGGCGAATAAAAATGGGCCTCCAGTAAGTTGTCGTTCCATCGTTTTCGTGGTCTTCCTGCTGATCGTCTTCCTATTGGGGAACCGTCTCTTGCAGTCTTTACTACTCTATTTGATGTCATTCGGCTGACTCTTTGACTCTACTCTTGTATTTCTTACCCAGTTGATGTTCTCTACCTTGAATGTACATCGTATATCTGTACTTCTAACTCTGTCCCACAGTGTTTTACCATTAATTTTTCTAAGTACTTTCGTCACTGCTGGATGAATGGAGAAAGTAAAGAAGAATTTTTCGATTATCTACTAAACGTATTAGAAGGCTTAAGTAAAACAAGGAAGTATTTATTCTGGGAGATTTAAATGCCCGAGCAGAAAGAAGGAAGAACAGTCAGATTCATGGAAAGTATGAAGACGCTATTTTAAGTGAAAACGGTGCATGACTTACTAACATATGTGAGATCTTATCACTAAAAGTGACAAATGAAAGCGATGTCGCTAGCCCTCTTTCAACAACGTACGAAGTAAACATCACGTGGTTTAACTCTTCTTGCTGTGCTGAGTAATCGAGGCTCTCATTTGCATTGTGTATACTTTCTTTGTTATGATAAGTTCTGTTGTAGTTTGCAAAACATAAAAATAGAAAACATGTGAATAATGAACAAACCAAAGTTAAACACAGGAAGAGAGGTGTGAGACATGGCGACGAATATAAGAGAAATGTTATAAAGCCGAACAGAATAAAAAGCATTTCATATGTTAATTATAAAGGAAAAACACTCCCGAACAAGAAAATAAACGAAAATTTCCACCCAGGTGAGATTCGAACTCACGACCTTTAGGTTTAAAGGTAGGCGCTCTTACCACTGAGACACAGGGGGTTTACAAGAAAATTGGATTAGAATGCAAGTAAGTTAAGTTTTTTATATTAATTTAACTTCCTATCTGCATCGTTATGTTTCCTTAATCCCTTTGTTTAAAGATGGTCAATAAAAAGATGAGCAGGATTTATATCTACAAGGACTTGACTAGAAAAATGTAGTGTTGGTAGAAGAAGAAAAAAGACCACTGACAATAAAAAAATCATGTACCAATTTCTATTTTGTTCTTGTTGAAAACATGAGGGTACATGTTTGTCAAAAATCATTTCTGAGCTTTAAGCTGTGTTTCCAAAAAAAAGTAGAACAAATAAAAAATTTGTTATCAAACACCATGTGACCAAAGGGGTCACAATGTGAAGGTTCGTGCAATTCCTGAAGAAAACAATATTTTAATACAGCAACATGTTAAATCGTTACCTTTCAAACATTACTCTGGTAAACCTATTTCATATCTAGATGCTCGATTAAACGCCAAGCTTATGCATCACGTGGACTGCCTTTGGTAGATTGAATAACATTTTCAAGTCTAATATCCAGTTTGTTTAAAAAGAAAGGTTTTTAACCAGTGCGTTTTACCGGTTCTTACATATGGTGCAGAAACACTAACAAAAAGAACAATAGATAAAATAAGAGTTACACAACGCGCTATGGAAAGATCAATATTAGGTATTACCATCAGAGATAAAGTACTAAACCTAGAAATAAAAAGAAGAACAGGTATCACGTCATGTTGCCAGATTAACGGACGATAGATGGACCAGAAAGATTCTGGAATGGCGACCAAGGCAAGATGCATATCAAAGCAGAGGACGACCACCGACTAGATGGACGGATGATATCAAGCGCATCACCACAAACTGGATGCAAGATGCTCAAAATAGAAATAGGTAGAAAATTTTACGGGAAGCCTACGTTCAGTAGTGGACAAATATAGGCTTATTGATGATGATGATTATGCATCAGCTTTTTAAAGAAAAATTCCCAGATTCCTCTATAAAGTATGATTATTACCTGAAATATTTTAAGGAATACCTTAACTACCGGTTTGGTCGACCTCAGATAGATACATGTTGTCAGATTAAGGAACTTAAAAAAAAAATAAAAAATAAAAAAAAATAAAAAGAGTTAAAATTAAAAGTCCTTCACTTAGTGATGCGGTCAAACGTACTGCTGCTGCTGAGCTAATCGTACACAAACGTAGAGCCAACAAATTTTATACGTTGCTCACGGAGGCCGAAACTCGTAGCAAACCTAATGAAAGTGTATTAGCCTTATCGTTTGACTATATGCAGAACTCCCATCTTCTCGAAATTCCCATATAAGATCTGTTTTACCTTATCAATTGACTGTAAACGTGTTTAATATTCACAACATTAAAACCGGTGCAAATTTCTTTTATACATTATGTATCATGAAGGCAGGTTAGTAAGAGTCCTAAGGCTTCCAAATATCATTGAAGAACTGCTTTTATTTTGTGACAATTCCCTGGGCAAAATAAATACAATGCTGTAATTAGAATGTGTATGACATTAGATAAAACGAGATGCCCAATAAAAGGCACTCGTTTTTGCCTTGCGATAGAGATTTTGGCACTGTCAAAAAACTTTTGAAGCTCTTAAACAGAATTTTTGAAGTTATACTTCTTTACGCACGGTCGGCGTTGGAAATTTGCATGGGAGTGAATCTGTGAAACCATTACCTATGTAAGATGATGAGTAAGAGAGAGACAGAAGATATATTTTCTCTCTCTTCTTCTCTCGAGAATAAAAATGTTCCTTATATATATATATATATATATATATATATATATATATATATATACATATATATACATATATATATATATATATATATATATATATATATATATATACATATATATATATATATATATATATATTATATAAATAATATTATATATATTTAATATAATATTATTATTTATTTTGTATTATTTATTAAACGTTTATAATTATTTTAGGATTTTGTATTTTAAAATAATCAATGTTTGACCGAGAACTGTCAATTTTGAAATCCGTTAGTGTCATGTC